CTAATTTCGTGAACATTTAGAAAATGTATTGAAAACCTTGTAAAAGTTTAAAAAAATCACAAGAACACAAGAATCTGAGAATTAACTCAATAATTGAATCATAAAATTTATTTTGCAACAATAAAATGTAAACAATTTTGTCTGAACTTTCACGAGCATTTTTTTGTTGCAAATTTAAAATTAATTCCTAACAAGTGAGTATACTCATGGTCCCATAACATCCTCAAGAGTATGTTCAGAATAAACTCTTGAGTATGTTGCAGCACCATGAGTATAGTCATTTGTCTGCTATGGAATTGAACGTAAATAAATTTTTTCAAACAATCGAACACAAACAATAAAAAAAAGCTTATCAACAACGACCAATTAATTATTGAAACCAACTCAATTAGCTGAATGAAAAGCAATTCAAACTTTTGCGTACAAAGAAATGATTCCAAAGAAATACAAAGTGTCAACAACCGATTCGCAACAAGAAAATGTATTTCATAAATGTTCAAGTGTAAATTCAAACCGAATATATATCTTAAGTTGTTGAAATGCATTCAAGGTATTTAATATAGTTTCTATGATTTTAGCAAAGTTTTATTTAATTTCATTTTATTCCTGAATTTTTACTAAGACTCAGTCAGTAATTAAATCATTAAATTTATAAACTCAAAAGTGGTTGTCAAGATAATGGATTTGTTATTGTGGGTTATTGAACGAAATTATAAAGTAACTGAATTGTTTACAGATTTAAATTAGATAAGATACGCGGTTGAAAAACAAATGATTTTTGAAATATTTTGTAAAAATTACTGAATTCAAATTTTTGTCAAATTGTTAAGTTAGCTTTGCTCACACTTTATTAGAAACTGTCTTTTGATGTACCAGAAAATATTAATTTCAATTAATTTTAATTATCAACCGCAAAATTTAAAATAAAATTCTTGACCTAAATCGTCGAGAAAATCTTCATTTCAATCTAAAATCATTTATTTTAATTATCCAAACAGTTGCGAAACCTTCCATTGACCTCATGTTCTCATCTTGAACAAACTAATGCACAAAAAATAATTAAAGGTTTTAGAACCGCAAAAAAATTCATTAGCTTTTAATTGTAAGAATTTGAGAATAGTTTTGCTGAAAAACGAGATTTTTAAAATACAAAGCAAAACAACAAAAATATAAAAAGAAGAAATTGTTTGGTTATTTATAGCTTTTTGTGACTTCAAGTGATGAATTTTTGTGGTTTTTTGGAGATAAAAATCTACGTCAGAGAATAAAGTTCTGTGAATCATATCAGAAAGTGTTTGAATAACTTCATATAAAACATTATTATTGAATCAAAAAGAATTATTTTAGAAAATGTTTTAATTATCTTTCAAAAGTTTGTATATTTTCCTTAATTGACATCGAATTTCAAGCTTTAAATTTTTGTTCAAGTCATTTCTATTGTTCCTATTGAAATACTCAAATATATTCACAAAAATTGAAAATTTTGTGTGAATATGACAATAAATTTCTATTTAAACTGTTAAAGAGATCTTGTTTTTGCTAAAATGATGATTGACGTGGTCCAAGAACGCGACAATCATCAGCAAAAAAATTATTTTCTTATGAAGATTAATTAGCTTTTTCGAGTTTTTGGTTAACGGGAGTTTGATCGAGTTCAATCTTGTTTTGCTAATAATTTCATCCAGTTTGTTATTTGAAACGAGAGTTAATTTTTGTGGACATGTGGTTGAAATGGAACTTATGAAAATTTTTTTGTTGTATTCTGAGAAGTTTAACTTATTGATGAACTTACTCGTATTTATCAAAATCAGGGGAAAACCAGAAATTTGTCGAGATTGATGAAAGCAATGACAGCCAATTTAATGAAAGCACAACTGTAGCTTAGCTGCATTATTTCCTAAATGTGTCATCTTTTTCTCTAAATAATGAAAATATTTGCATGAATTGAGAGCATCAGATAGCGACAATGACGACCTTTAAGTGCCTTCAAGTATAAAAAATGCAAATAATGTCTATAAATTATTCTTAATTTTTATTGTACAAATAAAATTATTAATTTAAGATTTTGGCGAGATGGAGTTTGACACTTAAAAATTATCCGTATGAAATTCGCTGTTTCAGTTGTGAATAAAATCTAAATGTGATGTGAAAATTGAACTACTATTGGTGCAAGAAAACCTTATTATGACCAACTATGACACTAATATTCCAATAATTATAAATTTAAAAATTAATATGTTTTTAATAATTTTTAAAATTATCTTTTGTATTTATTTTGTTAACTTATTATCATTGCTATGATGAATGACAAATATTCTCTATTGTTATTGTCACAACTGACAGGCGCCATTTATGTTTTTAAAAAACACTTTACAGTTCAACAATCGGCTCATAAATTCATTTTCTCCCCAAAAAATTATTGCTTAAAAAATTACTCAAGACTGTGACAAAAAAGTATTTTCATTCAAATTTTTCATAAATTTTAAGGCGTGAAAACTCAGAATCAATCATGAAAAATCCCAAAAATTCTTATAAAATCCTGACATGAAACATGAAAATGTGAAATCCTTTTTAAATCCTTGATTGATTTGATGAATAATTTCGGGATTTAAAGGGGATTTCACATTTTCATTTTTAATGGATAAAGGACTTTTTTTTCAGGATTTTTGTGGTAGTTCGGAATTAATCCTGAGTTTTCACGCTTTCATAAATTAATTTGTCCTTTTTTGTGGTAACAAATTTTAAACTTATTATTTAATTTCATGAATAAAAAGTTAAATTAAAAAGAAAAATGAGCAAATTTTGGTGGTTTCCATTTAATTATCTTTTGTGAAAAAAAAACTCATAAAAACTGTATTTGATTTTATCCTTTTTTTACCAAATTATAATAAAACGGTTTAAAAAAAAATATTGAAAGGTGAGTTAATATTAAATTCTTAATAACTTAATCATAGTTCACGAGCATTATCGCATTGTATCGAAGATAGCATAAAAATCAATACAAATACACAAACTCATCCAAACTTGTATTATCAGAAAAAGTAAATATACGACATAATTTTTATTATGTTTTTTTCTTATCAAAAGTGATACTTTTTGGAATTCTAATAGAGATATTTATATGTATATGATCACAATTGAGATATTCACACACTTGGGGATGTTTATTGTATATTAATCTTTTTGGTCAAATATTAAGATTGTTCTGAAATTGAATATTATTCTAAAAAGGACGAAACTGACTAAGACTTTGTATAAATTAGTTAACTTGTTTCTATACAAAATCTTAATTGTTTGAATAATAAAAATGTGTGAAAGGCCCAGCCAGTTCGAGGTACTGCAATTCAATTTGTAAAGAAACTATTGTACCACACCCTTTAAATCTTTCTAGCCTTGTAAGGATCCACACTCAAGTTTTTCAAATAACTGCTTAAGAAGCGTGTCTGTGAAGTACGCGGGAGCAACCATGTTCAGCCATGGTAACTATACACTGAAACTGAAATAAATCCAAAAACCTCATTCAAATTTTTGGACATGCTTAGGTACGAGGCTAGAATGTGCAGGAACTGATATAAATTTAGAATGATTCGAGATAAAATATCGACAGATTAGGAACACTGAGAAAAAACTCATATATTTTGACATACAATATGATCCTAGTAAATTTTTGAAACTTTGATGATGTTCAGGTACGAGATGGAACTGGAACTGCCACAAGTCCAGGATGACAGGTTGGACTTAAATAATTCCATCATATTTAAGCTGCTGAGGAAAAGTAGTGTTTTGATATATAGCATGGTAGGTTTTTGGGGGAAAAAAATATTGGTCCACAAGTAGTACTGTCCAAAACTTTGACAGTCCATAACTCTTTCAGGTTATATCCATTTCCAAAAATTTTTGCAGGACGAAGTTGGACGTAAATAGGAGATCGATTTTCATATATAATTTGGCCATAAGAGTTTAGTTCCTATAGTTACTCCCGCTGAAAAAGTGAAGTACGCGAGAAAGATACCCAAAACCTTGTAAGGGGTATATCCAGTTATAGGAAGTAGGACGAAAATATTTAAATGCGGGACGTAAATGGACGTAATCCAGGCCAAGTTTCATCACTCCCTGACAACTTGCTCCCGCGTACTTCACAGACACTTAAGAAGCCTAGTCATGGCCTTGACATGGTATTGACATCTGTGACAGTTTTGGGACAGAGACGGGGGAGGAGAGAGGTTTTTAAAAATTAGGATTTTTGATGGACATCATAAGTGAACTGCCACAAATTGGAAAGATCAAAAACTTTCACTAATATTTACAAAATCATGGACGGAAGCTTTCACTTTCACTTTATCAGTGTCTAAACATAGAATTTTTTCCATCCGCCTTTATATCCTTGAATCTCTTCACGCAATATTTACTCCACATAGTTTTCTTTTCTTTCTCTTTTATTTTGTTTATCAACACTCGAAATGCTGACTTTTCACATTTCATTTTCTCTCTCTTTCAAGCTTATTTTGACTTTCGAATTATATTTTGAGTGACAAAACTTATTTTTAGAATGAAAATCGAGAAGAAAATGATTGTGTCGTAAACAGAGATTGAAATTACAACAACAAAGCAAATAAATGCATTAATAAAGTGTTATTTGATTTATATCTAATAAAATGGAATTTCAAATTAAATTGACGATTCAGTTAAATTTTAGAATTTAAACTTAAAAACTGTGCTTTAATTTCACTAAAATCTGTAGAATTTGAATCTCCCAACCTTCCTAATCCAGAATGACCTTGTAATTTTTTCATGATAACGAAAGCCCCAAAAAAGGAAGAAAAAAATCGATTAAGTACAAAAAACTCGTCGCCTTCAATTTTCTTATCGGCCAAATTACATCACATTTTCTTAAAAGGTTTATCGATATTGCATTTCGCACACTTGAGAATAAAACTTTTCACTACTACAAGTTAAATTTATGATTGTTGAACTGATAAAAAATAATAAAAAATACTCACATCGTGCAAATAGCGCGTACCACGTGCATAGAATGAGCACAAATGTTGTCTCGTATTTATACTTTTCACCAGTACATACTTTCCCAACCATTTCACCGCCAAAACATCCTCGCATCACCTTTTCTTGCATTATACCAAACACACCGAAGCAAATCATTATTCCGGCTGCTATAAAGCAGATGCGAAATGTTTCATTTGCCCACAATCTTTTAAATAAGTCACTTAATGAACCCATTGTGATATTGGATCCCTTTTTTTTATTTTACTGGTTTAATAATTTTTTTTCTGAATTTTAAGAAATTAATTAAAATTAAGGAAACTTTTTCTTTAAAAAATTTGAAAATTGTGAAAAAAATCTTAAGTTTTTGTAATGTTGGAATCGAAATATTAACTTCTAGAAATAAAATCAGATCACTTTAGCTATGTAAATGCTGGACTTTATCATTAGGCAACGTGAATAATATTTCTTAAAATTATTCCTCCTATTTAGCTAGGTGTCTGTAAAACAAAACCGAAAGTGAAGGTTTTAATTTACATGACATTGAGTTTTCTTTCATGAATTATTGACTGTAGAAAAACTGCAAAAAAATAAATTTTTCAGTGTTCCCAAAAATGTGTTGACCACGATGAACATTCTACAAACTTTCCGTGATTTTCATTTTTCTATTTTAACAACGCGATTATTTTTCTCTTTTTCTTCAATAGAATTTTGGGGAAACTTAAATATTAAATCGAAAAGTCCCGAATCATTAAAAAATTCATTCACTTCAATTTCAAGACGATTATACATATCCCGTCCATGTACTTCTAGGACACAGGAATTTTAAAACCTGCTAATCAAAAACCTTTGATTAATTTGAACTCCAGATTATTTGTCATTTCTGTTTCCTTTTTAATACTTAGCAACAGCAAAAAAAAAACAATAATGCTGCAATTAGTTTTATTTATTTTCACAAAAACTGTTTACTTAATTAAAATTTACTTTTTTTTTCTTCTCAATCAAAACTTTTCTAGATTAATGTGATTTCCCATTAAATTATCACATGTGAGTGAATCTGATTTCTATAAACCAGAGTTCGAAGTTGACTCAGGTTTTCTCATAAAGAGTCAACTTCTATATACAAAAATAAATTATCAAGTAGGCTCTAAGTCGACTCAAGTCAAGTTACAAATTCTTAGAATTCCAAAAAATTCCGTTTCAAATATTTTCACTTTCAACAAAAGTGCTCCCTCGACTCCAACCCTATCGACTTCGAGCTCTGCTATAAACAATGAAACTCGTATTTTTGAACATGTTTAGACAGAACTTTTCATTCATCTACAGATTTTTTTTGTTTAAACTATTTCTTAATTTAATTGACTAGCTTTTTTGGTCAACATTTTTAAGGTTTTTTGTATTTTAATTTTTTTAAATTTATTTATTAATTTTTGAAAAGTTTAATTCTTTTAAATCTTTTTAAATTAACTCTTTTTTCAATTTGCAATTTTTAAATTTTTTTAAATTCAACTCCTTTTCTTATGCATTGAAATGCCAAATTTTAAATATTTAACTTGCCAATAAAATGCAGGCAATATTAAAGCTTTTAACAGGAACATTATCTTGATGTGAAATTACAATTAACAATCGCCCACTGCACCTTGCAAATATGAAAAAAAACCATTTAATTACAATTCTATATGATTTTGAACTTGAAAATTTAATTTTTTATAAAAATCTATCAACATCAAAAGTTCATTATTTCACAACTCACGAGTTTTAATCACGTTTGGCTAATTGAAAGCGGTAAAAAAATTATAAAAATTTCAAATTTTTGTCAACTTTATTCCCATTTATTCTAATTTTTCCTGATTTCTAAACAATTTTCATGAGTTTCCTGAATTTCAATAATTTTTAATATTTCACAATTTTTTCAAAATTTTCAAAGTCTTTTTTCACATTCAAATTTTTAAGCAATATTTAAAAAAATTTCACAATTTTTCGCAATTTTCCCACCAAAAGTAAATTTTATTGGAATTTTTATCCAGCAAACTCGCGACCAGAACGTGCCTGCAACAAAGTAAATTGATGACTGAAAATCGTAAAAATTACTTTTGGAAGAAAAAAATTGTTTTCTCTCGGAAATTTTGAATCATGAAATTCTCTCAGAGAAAATAATAAAATATTCTCAATTTTTGCTCAGTTTTTATCTTATTTATTTTCCGCATTGAATGAATGAAAGTGAAAGCTATCGTAAAAGTTAAAATTGTGAAAAAGGCGGGATACGCTTCTATCTAGAATTGAGAGAATTCAAGTTCTTTCTGATGTTGTAATAACAATTGACATCCTTATTCATCCAATAATCCTAATTCTTTTTTTAAAAAACCCATCAAATCAGGAAAAATTTCAATTTTTTTCAATTCAAATAAAAAAATTTAGATCAGAAAAACATCAAAATTTACCGAATATCAAATGTTGAAGAAAAAATAAGTTTTTATTTCAAAATAATTCACTCATAACCTCCAAATAATAAAAGTCACAATAAAAATTAAACATGAAAAATAATGAGATCAATAAAATTTGAGAATTCTTCTAGTTAATTGAAAATTAAGTAATTGAAAATATTTTTATGACTTCTGTTGATCAAACCTTGATATTGACCCATATTTTGTGTATTTTTATTGGTGTTATTAAATTTTTGTGTTTTCATGTTAATCAATTCAATTGACAATATTCTTCATATTTTTGCAATTTAACTAGTTCAATGGAATGAGGAAGGAATGTGGATATACAATTAAATGTATTGTGGCCATTTGTGACTTTATGATTATTATTTTAATTTGATGAGAAGTTAGAAATATTCAATTGGCTTGAATTTGTGTTCAGTGATTAAAGTATTTAAGACTCTTTTATAAAAATTAATAATTTTTTAAAAAAAGGTTTGTTTAAAATTTGAAAAATCCAATTCAAACCTAGCTCTTGTATTTTATAACGAAAGAACATGGCGAAAAAAGGATCCATTTCGGTACCATTTGTTGATCGATGACTAGGGTTTGCAATCCCGAGATTACATACATTTCATTCCTGTGATAGAAAACCCTATCGATGACGTTTTTGAATTTTCTAGAATTTCTCAAAATTAATTGACAAATCTTTGAGATTTTATTTTTTAATAAATTGAATTTCCAGAAAACAGAAACGAAAAGGAACTCTTTACAATAAAGAATGCTCAACGTCATGTCAACATTAATATAAATTCCAAAAAGTCAAGTCAAGTGATCTTAACTTAATTCAATTAATTAAGTCGTTTACTACTGCTTATTGGTATTGAAATTGTTTTCAATCAACATTAAGTTTGGAAACATTTTTAATTTTTTGTTTATTATAAATTTGGCTTATTAATTGGGCGTCCGTCGCACCCGTTATTGGGGTTTAAATTTGATTACTATTTTGTAGATAACTGCAAGACACAAATAACTATAATGTTTTTAAGGATTAATCCTCCCACAAAGCTTCACGTGACTTCACAAACCCCCTCAAACTCGGAACCACTTTAGTCCACATCTGACACCTAACCCCTATCTGATACCCACATTGTCAACACTCCTCAAATTATTGGCTTCACAGGACTTCACAAATGGCTTCAAATGACTTCCGTTCTAAAGTCAGGGAGGGAATTGGGTGTTTATATTATAGATTTTAAAATTTTGCGCTTTTCGTCTAGTGCGGATCAGCTCAGTTAACATGTTAAGCTCTAAATCTTCAAACATATGTTTACTGCTTACTTTTATATTCTATAATATAAAGTAAATTGAGTGTTGTAGATATTGAAATTTCCAAAATTTCTTTTCAAAACTAGAAATTAAATTTTCCGACCACGACAAAAATTAAAAACGACTTATTTTCAAAATACACTGTCTATAATAACATCCCAACTCTGCTCTATATTTCTACCGATTCGCAATTAATTTTAAACCTTATCAATAACTATTCCAACAAATACTTGTGATTCTATTGACAATTATTTCTTGATTTGTAGATAATTGATATAAAAAACTTCACAATCCATGATAAACTGTCATTATCAGTTTAATTGTCGACAGTGCAGTAAATTAATTAAAATAAAATAAAAAAAAATTGTAAAATGAAAAAACTAAAACTTGTGCAAATTCTGAGTTTTTTATTAATTATATCAAAAAAAGTATCAAATGCTGAAGAACCACTCATAACTTGTGAGCCAGCTAGCGATTACTACACGTGTACTTTTTTTCATTTTGACACAACAGCACCTGACTATCGATTTCCATCTGTAATAACTCACACTGAAGACCACACAAACAGTGATGTCCGAAAAATTCACGCTTCTGAAAATCAAACAATTTCAGAATTTCCAATCGAAATCTTCCAGACCTTCCCAAATGTCGTACATATCGAGATGTGTAATGTAAAGTTGACCGACTTTAGTGCAAATTTTACAATTTGTGAACAATTGGAGTCACTTGATGTGCAGAAGAACAATTTGAACAAAATATCAAGTGGAATTTTTAAAAACTGCAAAAATCTTAAAACATTAAAATTTGGATTCAATAAAATATCAGTCATTAGTGAGGATGCATTCTATGGACTTCCAAAAGTGACGATTCTTGAATTTGACAATAATTTCCTTGTGAATATTCCCGAGAAGTTGTTCGTAGAGTCAATAAATCTTGAATTTTTAAGGTTAAATGTGAATTTATTAGAGATAATCCCAAACAATTTATTCGCAAATAATCCACATCTTCACTTCTTTCCCATGGAAAATAATCCAACTTTAAATGGAATTTTACCGAAAAATTTTATGGCAAATAAAACAAATCTTCAATTTCTGTACATTGAAAATATTGGACTAGTTGATTTTCCGGATGGGATGTTCACTAATACTTCAGGTTTGGGAAACCTTTTTGTCAGCAATAATAAAATCTTGAGGATTAAAAATGGCATATTTGATGATCTTCAGGCATTACAAAAACTGGAATTCCACAAAAATTTAATTGAAAATATCGAAAATGACGCATTTTTTGGTTTGCCAAATTTAAAATTTTTAAAACTAAATGAGAATAAGCTGAAGTTCATAAATATCAAAGTATTCAAGCATGTCTCAAAGCTAGAGTATCTAAATATCGAGAACAATCCAATAATCGCAATTTCATATGACATTTTTGATGTCTTAACAGCATGCAGTGAATTTTTTATCACAATTGATTCCGTAAATGTTCACAAAGATGAAGCTGCTGCTTTCTATTCCAACATCTTGCAATGTACCTACTACATTCATGAAACCAATGGATATACTTGTGATTTGATCGATGGTGAAAGAACTGCGGAGCATCGGATAGTCATTGACAATGTGGATCAAGAAAATGACGTGGTTTACTTGACAACAAGTAAACTTGAATTGTCAGAAATTTTTGTGGAATTTTTCGAGACTTTTAAAACTGTCCGTTTTATGAACTTTTCAAATAATAATCTTGGAGATGAGAGTTTGAAGAGTTTAGCCAATTGTGGAATGACCTGCAATAATGTTGCTTTTCTGCATTTGAGTTATAATAATTTTACTTTAATACCTTCTGAAATTGCTGAATTTTCAAACTTGGCGGAACTTTACATGACTCACAACAACATTAAGTCAGGAAATCAGGAAGTTCTAGCATCATTGGATGCTTCAGTGCTTAATATTCTTGATTTATCATTCAATCAGATTGAATCTTTCTCAAGCTACAATTTTAAAGCTATTTCTCTGTCCAACAACCCCCTGCAAGTCATCAACCCTCTCAGCAGTGTAGAATTTTTAAATTTAAACAATTTTATAGGACATAAGCCGACAATAATCCTTAAAAATGCATTTAAAAATTCTAAGAATTTAAAAATTCTCTTTTTGTCAAACAGAAATATTGAAAATATTAATTTAATTGAGTTTAATGATGCTTTGAGGCACTTGGATGTGAGCCAAAACCAAATAAAGGTTTTAAATTTCAAGGAAGTTATTGGGTTGGACAATTTTACTCATTTGAATGTTTCGGACAATTTTTTGAGAAATGTTGAGCCTGAAACTTTAGTAAAGTTGACAAATCTCCAAGTTTTGGACTTAAGGTCTAATTTAATTGAGTTTGTAGCTGAATTTTCATTCAAAAATATGACAAATTTGACTGAGCTTTTGCTGGACTTCAATTTGATTAAAATTTTGCTTAAAAACTCATTTTTCGGGTTGGAAAATTTAAAATTTTTGTCAATTTCAAACAACAACTTGAAAGTTCTGGATGATCTAATTTTTGTGCCACTTTTAAGTTTAGAATTTTTAAATTTATCGATCAACTCTTTAACTTCTTTTAGTGTAACAAAGTTTGGGAGCGTCACAAACCTTAAAATCTTTGACATTTCAAAAAATAATATTGAAATTATGTCCACAAATTTTACTGACTTCTTTCCACCATCCACAGCTATCAACATGGACTTTAATGATTGCTCAAATTCTGAAAATTGTTTAGAAAAACCTAAAATTTCTTGCATTTTTCAATATCGTTCTAACTCAATTTATGAGTGTGTTATTAAACAGGCATTGGTATTGGATCCTTGGGTTGACTATTTCATAGATGGAATTCATATTGGAAATGATGACTCAACTGACATCACATCTATAATAGCCAAATCTGACTCGCATTTTTCATTTTTACCAGCTGTGATTTTTTATGAATTTCCTAATCTTCAAATTTTGAATTTTGTTCGTGTAAAAATATCATTTTTGGAAGAATTTTTCAATTGCCATGATTTTAGGGTATTGAACTTTGAGGGGAACTTGATATCGAGCGTCTTTAGAGAACTCTTTGAAAATTGTCATAAAATCGAAGTTTTAAATTTTGAGAATAATTTGATTTTAAAGCTTTCTGGCGATTCTTTTAGTAAATTGTCAAATTTGAATAATTTAAGCTTAGCTGAAAATGACATTCAACTTTTATACTCAAATATTTTTGATGAAAATAAAAATTTGGAAGTTTTGAGGTTAAATTCAAATAAAATTTCTAATATCGAAAACAAAATGTTTTGGATGTTAAAAAATTTAAAAATCCTGACAATTCACACGAACTTAATTTTTGAATTACCGGAAAATTTGATGTCAAAATTGGGTAACATTGAGGAATTTGAGATGCAAAACTTGCAATTGAATTCAACAATTTCTATTAAAATCTTTGAAAATAACAAAAACTTGAAAAAACTCGTCATGATGAAAAATAAATTCACAATAATTAAGGAAAATTTATTTAAAAATTTAGAACATTTGGAAATTTTGGACCTTCGGAATTGCGAAATTCAAAAAATACATGAAAATGCTTTTCAAAATTTGAAAAATTTAAAAATTTTATATTTACAAAATAATTTAATTGAAGTTTTTGATGGAAAATTGACAGAAAATCTTGAAAATTTGTTGAATTTGTATTTAATTGACAACAAAATTTCAAAACTTGATGAAAATTTGCTTAAAAATTCTAGAAATCTAATTGAATTCCACGCAAATGAGAATTTAATAGCAGAAATTCCTGAAAAAATGTTTCAAAATTGCTCAAAATTAGAAGTTTTAAATTTTGAACAAAATCAAATCTCGATTTTCAAATCCTTTAATAACCTAAAAAATGTTAAAATTATCAATTTCAATTTTAACAAAATTTCAATAATTGATCAAAAAATCTTCAAAAATTTAACAAACCTTGAAAATCTTCAATTTCATGACAATAATTTTCGAAATTTACCCCCAAATTCATTTGAAAATCTTGAAAATTTAGTGAAAATTGATTTTTCGAGAAACAAAATAACCTCAATCAAGGCTGAAACTTTCCAAACTTCAAATAACTTTTTCTTTGAAAATCTAGAAGAAATTTTGTTTTCAAAAAACGAAATTACATCAATTGAGACCCAAAGTTTCATTTTAATTCCAAACCTTAAGATTCTAGAGCTTCAATACAATCAAATCAAGACATTGTCTTCATCCATGTTCCTCGATTACTCCCAAAATTCCCAATTTAATAGATTTATCAACAAAATTGACGTAAGTTACAATTTAATTAACAAAATTTCATCAGATTTCTTTGAAAAAGTCTTTCCATTGAACTTCCTTGCAACTGGGAATGTGTGCATTAACAGTGACTTTAAGGAATTTAATCTGAATATTTCTAAAGACTTTGAGAAGTGTAAAGCTATCATTTTGGATTGTAAAGTTGTTACCGTTAAACCTGAGTTAGAATTAAACCTTTCTTTTAATAGCAGTGCTTCTAAAAACCTTACGGATGCAAAGTGTATCATCGAGTACCTTAAAATCACTCCAAACCAGCAACAATTTGATTTTGAAATTAAAATTGATGAATTTCAGAAGCAAAATATTAAAATTGTTGAATTTGCCTATACAAATATTTCATTCATCCCGCCAATATTGTTTCAAGATTTTCATAACCTCAAAATTTTAAATGCCAAAAATGTTTATTTAAAAAATTTGAATAAAATTGAAAATTGTGAGAATTTAAATTTTTTAAATTTAGATGAGAATTCGGGGATTGACTTAGGAGATCGGAGTTTAGAGAATTGTACAAATTTAAAAGGTTTGTCCATCAGTAACGTTAATTTAAATTCAGTTGGAATTACTGCATTTTATGGACTTAACAATCTTAAAGAATTGATTTTGGAAAATTCTAAAATCTTAAAATTGAATTTTTATCTTCCAAATTCTTTGGAGATTTTGAGGTTATCTCGGAATGTATTGACTATTGATTCTGATAGCTTTAAGAATCTTATTAATTTAAAAGAGATCTACATTAATCAGGAAGACTTTTATGGATTCCAAATTGAAGATAATTTTGACAAAAACTCAGTTTTTTTTCTAGAAAATTTAGAAATTCTTGATATTTCAAATCGAGGCATAACAGCTCAGAATTTTCCAATTTTTCAAGATTCCAAAAATAACCTCAAAATTCTAAAATCAAATAAAAATCATTTCCAAGACATCAATGATCAAATTTTCAAAAATTTAACAAATTTGCTAGAAATTCATATGGAAAATTGCAATATTTTGACATTACCAGACTTTTTATTCCAAAAGACACCAAATATTGAGGTTATAAACTTTCAAAACTTAATCATCGGCGCTGGTAACCTTAATAAAATCAGTATTTTACCTTCAAAATTGTTTTCAGGCTTATCAAATTTAAAAATCCTTCAATTAGACCTGAACTTGATAACAAAAATATCTGAAAATAGTTTTAAAAATCTTGAAAATTTAAAAATTTTGTCACTTGTTTCCAATAAAATTACAGAAATTGAGAAAAATTCTTTCATAGGACTTAAAAGTCTAAAAACATTAGACATAAGTGAGAATTTGATGTCCACGGATCTTCATTCTGATGTCTTTGTAGGTTTGATTAATTTAGAGCAACTTAACCTCAAAAGTTGCAATATAAAAGTCCTTCCAAGCAGCATTGTTGATTTAAACAGTCTGCAGATTTTGGATGTGAGCAGAAACTTTCTGACAAGTCTGTTATTTGCACCAGATTACCCTAAATTGACCAAAATTGACTTTAGCAACAACCAAGTTGCGAATATAAGTCCAAGATTTTTCGATGCAATCTCAAATGCCTCAGTCTTTAGTTCCTCAAATCCATGCATTCTAAATCCACTTCCTCAAGTCAACCTTAAAGTTCACTTTACTCAATGCTTTCAAAATTTTGAGAATTTAAACTTTTGTGAAATTCAAGAACATGAAAAATTTGGATTAAGTTGTAAAATTTCAAATTCAACCTTTTCTGGTTTAGTCTCAAAAAGTGAGGTTATGAACATTTACAATAAAAATAAGCCATTGAATCTTGAAGTTTACGTGATTTTCGAAGTTTATAGGAATTTATCGACTTTGAACTTATGGAAATCCTCAATATCCAACTTTAATGGAATCAAGACTTGCAAAAACCTTAAAACTTTCGACTTAAGGCTGAATTTGGTTGAAAATTTATATGAAAAATTGCTTAAAAATTGTGAAAATTTAGAAAATTTAATTTTGATTAAAAATCGGATTTTGTTTGTGGATAAAAATGCATTTATTGGTTTGAATATTTTGAAGTTTTTGGATTTAAGTTGTAATTTTATTGAAAATTTAGAAAATGAAACATTTTTTGAGAATATTGGTATTGAAAAACTAGTTTTGAGTCATAATAAAATTTTCAACATTAATTCAGGTTTATTTGAATCTTTGACGGTCCTTAAAGTCCTGAAACTTGACAACAATTTGCTTTTAGAACTTTCTGACTCGAAAATTTTAGAAAATCAGTCAAAACTCATCGACCTTCATTTAAATTCCAATAAGTTGACAAAAATAAATCCCAAAATATTCCAAAATTTGATCAATTTAAAATATTTGAATATTGAAACAAACAATTTAACAAAGATCGACTTGACAATGATAAATTCAAAATTGTTGGCTTATTTAGACATTTCATTTAACAACTTGTCAACAATTTTGATAGATTTGACTAAATTTCCGAACCTTAGAAATTTTATAGTTGAGAATAATTTTTGTGTTGATGAAAATTTTGAAATAATTAACTCCAAAGTTGAAAATGCTTTAAAAAATTGTCAATTTAATATTGTATCAAAAGATGAATTTTAAATAAATTTTGAATGCTTTTTAATGAACCAATTGATTCGTTTCACTCCTCAAAAACCTAATAACATGTTTTTCTTCTTATTCATGTTTGACATGCGTTAAGGATGATTTTTAAAGAGAAAATCGCAAATCTAAAGAGAACAAGAAGCATAAATACTCTCTTACATCTTGTTCTTGAACAATACTGACCTTGACATATGAGTTATGAGACATAACTTTCAATTTCATTCAGAGAAGATGAAAGGAAAATTGATTTTTTGGTCTGTGACATCAGGAAGAATTTTACGAATCATTGTTTGAGGATAATTAACTTAGTTACAGAGAATTTTCGGAACATTATGTTTAAATTTCATATTTGAAGCTTGTTGAGCCAAAATAAAAATGGTTCTAAAAAAGAAGCGTAGGCAAGGATTTAGGATCATCCTTCGTCTCCAGGATAAAAAATTTCAACAAAATTTATTTGTTTTAAATTGAAAATTTAAAAATTTAATTTATTAGAAGCTAAGAACTCGAAATCGATTGAGATGGGCTGGGCATGTAAACAGAAAGTAACAACTGCAGAATTTTTGGATGGTAAGAGATCTCGAGGTAGACCGAAGAACTCACGGAATGGCTGTGTAAGCAACGATGCATATGTGCTAGAAATTAGAAACTGGAAGAAATTGTATAAGGATAGAGCCATCTTTAGACGAACTCTGAATGCGGCAATGGGCCTACGTGCACCTTAGCCAAGGAAGTAAAAGTAAGTAAGAAGCTTAGAACTAGAAATCAATATTGACTCATTAAAACATATTCTGGATTCTTATAATTTAAATTAAAGAAAATCTTCAAATCTCTTAATAAAATCCGTTTCTCACGTGCTCACCATTAAATCAAATCGAATTTTCGAAAATTCTTTACAAACACATCCAAACCTTTTGACGCGAAATGAAAATTGATGCAAAAGAAAAGAGACAAACTGATGATCGCAAGTCATGTGACGAGATATTTGAAAAAAATCATTTTGTTTTCATCGGTTCGTCGTTGAAGTCACAGCACTCAAGTTTTTAAACTTTTTTCAGTTTCAAGCTTTTAATTTAACTTAATTGAATCCCAAAATGACGAGTCCATCAGCTGGAATTCAACAATTATTGGCTGCCGAGAAGAAAGCTGCTGACAAAGTCGGCGAAGCCAGAAAACGTAAGATAGAAAATTTGTTTTGGTGTCATGTGATTGATGATTTTTTTTTACAAGATCGTGTTTGTTAGGTGATCGTCATGTGATTGTGGAGATATTTTGAAAATTTTAAAAGAAAACTTGTTGGGAAATGCAGGATTTTAATAGAATTTGATTGAAATTTAAAGATTTAAATAATTAAAGTTGTGAAAAGTCAAAAAATAATAATAAGAAGAAAGACGTTACGAAGATAAAGAAATTTTTTTGATAAGATCAAGGGATGGTAAACTTTAAAAGGTATTCGATGTAGGAAAATGCACAATTTATAAGAATTAAATTTATTCAAAGACATTTGCTACAGTTGCGTAAAACAGTGACTTGAGGAGCAATTGCTAATATTTTAAAGGTCACTGCTTTTTTATGCAGTTTCAATCAGCTGATTTATTTGTTGTTCCAAAATATATCTTCTTTAAGGCACTTATGACATCTAAAATAATTTTGAGGAATGTTTTCAATACAAATATTGAGATTTTTAAAAAAAAGTTTTATTTTTTGTTTTTAATTATCTTGAAAAGCTTTCAATATTAAGTCTTTAGTATTAATCAACAGAAATGGCCCGAATAGCACAGGTCGGTTAATCGAATAGGAATCCGACGCTAAGCCGGCATGACTCTGGCATGGTGCTAGCTTCGATTTAAATCTAGCACCATGCCAGAGTCATACTTGCTTTGTTCTAGATTTCGGATCGATTATTCGACTTGTGCCATTCAAGTGGTCAAAGAGAACTTCAGTTTTTAGCTAAACCTACAACAATTTGGTTCAATAAAATTTAACAATAGTTGAACCAAAATGTTACAAGAAGTGGTATGTCAGTGGATCAAAAAATGTTCAAAACTAATAACTTCATCAATCTTCTGTTAATAGCTTGCTAATGAACCCAAAAATTTTAGGCAAAGCAAGAAGACTGAAGCAGGCCAAGGATGAAGCAACTGAAGAAATTGAAAAATACCGTGGCGAACGTGAGAAGCAATTCAAAGAATTTGAGAACAAAGTAAGAATTGTGCAATCTAGAAAATTTTAAAATATTGTAAATAAATTTGTTTTTCAGCACGTCGGTAGCAAAGATCAAGTAGCTGCTAAAATCGATGCCGATACTAGAACAAGAATTGATGAAATGCATCGTGCTTTACAAACTCATAAGGAAAAGGTCATAATGGAGGTTTTAGAACACATATATGCAATCAAGACAGAATTGCACAAAAATTATCAAAAAACTGTCAAGTAAAATCGCCCAAATTTCATCCTGCGTTACTTAAACATCGAAAATCTGTTGTGTTTTGATGAAGTTTTGAAAATTTCCAGTTTAAAAAGTATTAAAAATGTATAAAATAAATATTACTTTCAACGATTTGGTGAAGAATTTTTGAAATCGATTGAATCATTATTTATATTTTAAATTCTTAGTAAGAACGGAAGGAAAAAGTTTATTCATATGTTATTGTATCAAGTTATCCATAATTAGTCGATTTTGTTGCTATTCATTCCATAACTATTTCAGTCTTAATAAAATCTAATCAATTAATTTAAATCTTTTAATTTTATTGTAAAGAAGTGAAGCTCAGCTGCATTTATTAAATGGGACGTGATACTTTTCAGTTCCGTTCAAGCAATATTCCATTCATATTCAATGTTGTTATAAAATGAAACATGCAGTTTAACAATTTCACTAAAATCAAGCCACAATATCCACAAATCGTTTATTCCAAGGAAGTCATCAGCTGATATTTACTTTCACGGACGCACAAACGATTCAATTTCATAAAAAATTCAGGAATTCTAGAAATAAATTTCGGCATGCCCGAACATACAAAGAGCATGCTCAGAAAAGTGAGCATATAAGTGAGTCTACTCAAAAATTATACTCATGCAAGCTCATTCAACTGAGCATGCTCAGGAGTTCATTACGAATGTACTCACTTTATTTTTTTTACAAAAACTTTATAAGCTCACGTGAGTGCATTCAATAAGTATACTCTTGAGAATATTAAGAACATACTCATGTGAATTCTCTCATATGAGTTCACTTACTGAATATACTCATGAGCATATAATGAGAAAACTCACTTCTGTGTCACACAATTTTTTTTATATTCTCATATGAGTGCACTTACTGAATGTACTCATGAGCATATAATGAGCAAACTCACTTCTGTGTCACACAATTTTTTTATATTCTCATATGAGTGCACTTACTGAGTTTATTCAAGAGCAAATTGTGTACCTTTTTTAAAAAAATGTCAGCTAAATCGAAAACGTTAAAATAATGAGTTTTTAAGGAAGCTGACGTTTTTTAAAAATTTCAGCTAAATCGAAAACGTTAAAATAATGAGTTTTTAAGGAAGCTGACGTATTTTAAAAATGTCAGCAAAATCGAAAACGTTAAAATAATGAGTTTTTAAGGAAGCTGACGTTTTTTAAAAATGTCAGCTAAATCGAAAACGTTAAAATTGGTGCTCAATAAGATCCAAACTTCAAAGAACTTAGTTCGCCTGTAAAAATATAATAATTTAAGTATGTGTTATGCCATATATAAATTATTATATATTTACAGACAATAGCTCCAAGGAAAAGTGTGAGATGACAGAAGTTAAGCAACGCAGAAGACATTTCAACAAGGATGGGTGACCAGATTTATATGTTTCAATTCTAAGGATTTGAGATAAAATATTAATAATTTCTAACTCTTTCAAAATTATTCACAGAAACAAACGGAACAGTACTTAATTTCAGCTAACCTATAATACTCAAATTAAGCTTAATTAATTTTTTGAATTTTGCAACTTCACTTGAGTGCACTCATGAGTGTGCTCAGATGAGCATATATTCATAAATATACTCACTAAGTATATATTCTTTGAGTACGTTTATGAGTATGTACTCTTTGAGAATGTTCATGAGTATATTCAATAAAAATGTTACATGAGAAAAATGTTGCATGTGACATGTTACCTTCTCATTTGAGTATGCTCATGAGTTTACTCAATGAGCTTAATACATGTCACATAGGAATGTGCTCACTGAGCATGCTCAAGAAGGTACCGTAAGCGCATCACTGAAACGTATGAAAATGAGCACATTCTCACAAAGGCTAATAGGCTCACAAATAATGTGCTCTGAGCATGCTCATTGTATGTTCGGGATGATGCATTTAAAAAAGTTTTAGATTGGATATAATTTCTAGTAGATCAGTTCCAAGGCGTGAAAACTATCCCAAATATCCCAAATAGAATTGAGATATCCCAAATTATCCTGAATTTACACGTCCAATGCACTAAGGAAACGTTAGGATATCTTTATTATCGTGCATACATGCTCAGGAATTTTTTTGAACATACTTGGGATATTTGGATTAAATATGATATTTGGGATAGTTTCCTCGCCTTGATCAGTTCTCATTGAATTTGATAAATTTGATAAATCTTGAGCATCAATTGTAACGAAAAGAAAACATAAAACTCTTGTATTACTATACTGGGGGTCCTTGATTTGAGTAGGTGTTTTGTTCTAGAAAAATCCTATTCAAATCGAATTTACTCAAATCGAGGACCCATAGTATATTAAGAGCTCATGCTTGAGCAAACGATAAGTCTTGTTTTAACATCCGAATAATAAACATCTTAAAGAGAAATAACCCACAGCATTATTATTATTCTTATTATCGTCTCATTCCAGCACTACATTAAATGGTGCAAGATGAGGAAAATTAGTATAAGAAATTAAGTACCATGTGTTATGAAAAGTGAATATGCAGTGAAGTGAATATGTTGTGTGATAAGGATACATTTTAACGTTTTTAAACCTTCGGAAGGAAAGTCGCATTGATGAAAGGGAATTTGCTAAGAAAATTGCTAAAGAAAAAGTAGCAAATAAAATAACAGTGAAAAACAAAAAATCAATGAGTAATAATCCAACTGATCATACTTCAGTTAACTGAAGTAGAGTAACATATACTGATAAAACATATGAAGAAAAATTCTTTTCTATCCTCGTCCATTTAAGAGTACTTTTAAGATATATAGTTTGTACTACATGCTTGACTTCATATTTAAACTAGACCAGATTTTTAAACACATTGTAGATAATGACATAAAATAAATTCTCGACGAAAATAAACAAACTAAAATAATTAAATCGCATCATAATTCTATGTTTATGGGAGAGTAATTTTCTCCGCCTTTCTTTAACTTACTAATCTCCAATACTCAATGCATGATTATTAAGAGAAATAATTATATTTTAATTCACTCACTCCAACTTAATCTCGTCATTCTTAATCCATCTTTCAAACATTTTAGACGTAATAAGTGTGATTCTGAACAAAAATATTTGAGAGATTGAATAAATAAACAAAACAATTAAATATAATCCAATCTCTACTTAAACTCTTTAACGCAATCCACTTGCAAGAAAATGGAAAAAATTATATAATTTTTTTAATCATTTCAAAATAATATTGAAACATTTTTTTCTCAGAATTATTTTACAAAATTTAGAATCACACAATAATAATATTCGTCTGGATTACTTATCTAACCGCCGTCTACGGAATAGAAGCTTGTGATTGCTCACATTCAAACATAAAATATGAGGCAATCTCCATGATGGACTCAAATACCTGCTACAAACAACAACGAATCATCGACACAACTTAAACAAACATTCAATTACTCCAAATCAAGGAAAATCCAAAATTAATTACTTTGGCTGTATGATTACAATTGATGTCGTCATCAACAATTGTATAAATGGTTGGTTCAGCTCCTAAACTTACTTCATTGGCGTGTACACATATCGACAACCTATAAGTCGAGAAGCCTGTCATGACATAATAAGAAATAATCGTTACGTAGATCGTCATATTGAAGTTGTAAAAATTGACATTAAAGATTTCTTCCATAACATAATCAATGATCAACTCGATAAAAACCGATGTTCAAGAACTAGCTTTATATACTAACATCCGAACATTTCAAGGTACCGAACATTTCAAGGATGCTCCTGAAGACAATGATGAATGCAAAATGAAATATGGTGTCATTTATGAGGGACCAGTACAAAAAGTCACTGAAACCCGAAACAATAAAACCAATGCTACTTACGCACTACTCGACACCGATTCAGAAAAGGCTTTCATGATCACCGTGCATAAACCCAAGAGCTCTTGCAATGAACAAATCCTCACAACACCATCCCCAAATATATTTGTCATTGAATCACAAACAGCTAAATTCTCACGTAAGAAGGACGAGACAGTCTCACTACACAACATTGACCTCCAAATGTTCGTTTCTTTGAAGATCCTTAGCACTTATAATTCACTCAATGATAACATTTAAAAACTTTATGACTATTTCGCAAACCAACTTTGTGACACTCGATATAATCTGTACAAAACAATGCTGCAAACTGCAGTTCAGAATCTCACCGAAGCATCTGAACTATTATTCCATTTTTGCTATTTTTTGCCACAATGTGGCATGCTCCATCCGAGAAACAGACACTTTTACTATTGAAATACCAGTCACATGTAATGGCACCGATGAACTACTATTCATGCAAACCAGATCAAGGATACTGTCTACAAAATCAACACCCACTACATGAAGCTATGTACTTGGCATTCAATATTATTTACATGACAGACGGTTCAGTCTACTGGCAAACAAATTAGTTCCAACAACTACACCTGAATCATTAGAAGATATGAACGACTATGATACATGAACGTTCCAAGACGATTCAAATCTCGCAATTCAAGGAGTCTACTCTTCACTCGAAGTCAAAAACGCACAGGAAATCATCACTGATAGCCAAAATTCACATGTTGACGTCATCAACTCGATCAACATGTTTCAATGAAAAAATTATGGCTTACGTCATGACTTCAACATATTGGATTCCTTAGACATCATCAAACTTTGCAAAAAGGTATTTGGTGACTACCTACATGCTACAGTCAATAAATTGGAATCTTTTGGAAACTTCGTCAGCATTGTTCTTGGCTTATTTGTCACTTGAAAAACAGTCATATTCGTGTTCGACTTCCTCACCAACATCATATTGGTTACTCATCTACATGAATTCAGCTGTCTTCTAATAATCACCATGTTTGACAACCTCATCAACGACTTTATTAATGCAAAAGAATTACGACGTGAACAACGCATAAACATTATAACGCGCAACCTCAAGAACCACCTACCGAAAACATTGCTATGCAGGATATTAGCTCACCATCTGCCCCGACCTACGAACCAGTATAAGTAATCCAAACGCGAGTTTAATTTTATATTAATTTTCCTTAATAATTTCTGAACAAATAAAAATAAATATAATCGATTATTTTTATTTTTATTTCCAGTGTTCCAACCCTGGATAATATTAGATAATTACATTAATTTTTTCGAATAGCTGAACTCAAGATCTTTCAAAAAATGTATATCATGTTATACTTTTGATATAACAATTCCAAAATATAGTCCAATAACTGGAAAATGCATAATTCTCATTTTTACTTGCACAGCCAAATTTTGAGTTTTTACATCCTTCTACATTACATGCATTTTACTTTAATTAATCTTTTATGATCTATATGTCATCAATTGAAACCTGCGGACGTGAATAGAACAGGAAATATTGTCAGCGTTACTGATTGAGCTTTGTCGCTTCTCAAAATAATTCAAATTTATCAAAAATCAAAAAAATCTGAATTAAAATAATTTCTTTAAAAAGTTTACATAAATTCAAGTAACAAAAAATATTTTTCAGTCATGTTTTGACAGCCTAAATATAAAATTTAGATAAAAACAATGAAAATATTCAAAATTGCGTTCTTAATAATATTTATATTCAAAATGTCCACAACTAAGAAAGAAAGCTACGATTTTGGTACAAGATATACGGACCTAAGCTGTTCAGCTGATAATGTAACAGTTGTTCTTCGTTATTGCTATCTAAAGGCTTACACCAGACGTCTGGTTACCGCAAATATTGGAGCTAGTTTACCATCTCCACTCACAAAACCAATTTTCATCCAAATTATTTATTCATACCGTTATGGAAATGTCTACCGAGAAGCTATGAAGTCGCCAAAAGTTGACTGGTGTGATTTTATGGACGGTGCATCTAAAAATGTGTTTATGACAAGCTTATTTAATGAACTTAAAAATTCAGTTGGTGACTTTTTTCACAAGTGTCCATATTCTGGAATTGTTGACATCAAAAATATATCATCAGAACATGAAAAGGCAGCTGGAATTTTGTGGGAGGGTCAGTACAGAATTGAATTAATAGTTTTTAATAGAAAAGATGGAGAGGCTTTTAGAATGAAGCTTGGATTTCAAATTAAATCTGACTTGAAAGGGTCTTTTGGGTAAAACTAGAAAGACAGCCTTGGTTTGGTGTTTTTCCTTAAAAATCTTTATTTGATTCCTTCAGTAGCTATGTTAATAAACTTTAATAAAACAAAAACGTTTGTCTGTTTAGATCAATTCAGATCCAGAGGGGCGCTTGGGCGATTTGCAGCTAATAAAAGTTTAAGGAGTGAAAATTTTCAAAACCTCTGCATTTAAACCGAGACCTACAATTTATAGTGAAACCTGAACCACGCCTTTGATGACATTGCTGCCTGGAACTTACAAAAGAGGGTTGGATGCTTTATTTCCAGTACATACATACGCTTTGAAAAAGGTCAAGCGAAAAAATTCCCATGCTGAGTCTCGAACCCATGATCGCTGTGTTGGCTTTGCATTAACTAAGTTCCAAAGCACTGAACCATTCCGCCACAAAGTGACTTCAGCTAATCAAAAAAAAAAAAAATACAAAAAAGTAGCAATATTCAAATTAGGTTGTTTTATTGAACTTAGTCAACGTAAATTTAAACTCAAAAACATTTTTGCTGAATTCTGGATTTGGGTCTCAAGGCATTTGATTTCTGGATCAACTCATTACAACCTATTCCAAAATGGAGTCAGAGACCTTTTAACACACGAAGTCAAATTTCACAATCGTCTTTTTTTTTTTTTAATTAAAAACTTAATCTTTGCCGTCTTATAAATAAAACAAAGATTGCTGAATAAGTCACAAATCTTGCTACGAACTTAACTTCCCGTTACCTTTTTATTTCAGCTTCCAAAAACATTTTGATTCATCACAAATCCATCGATAATATTTGCACAAGATTGTAATTTTTCCAAACAATTAAAACAGACATGTTGCGGAAGTCCATCATTAAATTGAATGACTGTGGCAGGCATGAGTTTAAAGCATTCAGTTTCAGTCGAGAGTTCTCCATTTTCATTAAATATTGACAACAATTCACATTCGGGTTTTGTACAAAGTCGACAGACGAGGATGATCTCTTCAATATATTCTATTTCTGTTGGATATTCCTCAATTCTTTGAATCTCAATATCAGTTTCCAAAATTTCAGTTCTGAAAATTTCAACTTTTTGCAATTTTTCACTAAATTTTCTTTTAATTGGTTTCGTCGTTTTTCGATCGAAAATTTTCTTTGGAATTTTCATAAATTTTTCTGCATTTTTTACTACAACTTCAACATTTTGTTGTAAATTATTTTCAAATTTTGAAGGAAGTGGGACGAAATTTTGCGTTCGATTGAGTGTCAGGAAGGACTTGTCTTCTATCTCTGGATTTGCAAAATCACTTTGAGTAAAATGATCACTGCATAGATAATATTTTATGAGTGTATCAATTTTCTTCTCGACTAGATCATCACGACCTGCTAGACGGGCCCATTCTCGAGCACTGGATTTAGAAAATAAATTGTAAAATTTTTTAATTTTTTTTTGTCAATTTAAAACCAGCTTTTTTAAAAATGAATAAAAATTTTTCTTACACTATCTCATTTTTGGGAAATCCAAAGTACCCAATTTTGTGAGTAAATTGTGAGTTATAGCAGCTTTTGGCACAACACCGCTTGACCATTTCAAAAATAATGGGAAAAAATATATTTCTTAAATTTAAAGTTTTGTTATTGTTTTGATTTTGTTTGTTTCTTAAATATTCGAAATGAAGCAGAAATGGGAAAGATGCAAAAATTCCAAAATTTTTTTAATGGAGATGCAAAACAGTTTAACGGTTTTTAGACACGTGACTGATTATTATATTAAAATACCTTTGTTCCTGAGTCAGAAATAGCTCAAGACGATTCTCCTCCTTACCAAAGTTACACAAAATTTTACATCATCAACATCAACTTAAAATGGTTCGTTTTATTATTCAACGAGAAAATCATGTATTTGTATATTATGTGACATTCATGAATGAATCCCAAATAGCGAAATTCGGTTGATCGAATTGAAATTTGGTGCCTAGCCGGCATGACTCTAGCATGGCTCTAGCTTTTAAATTAAGCACCATGCCAGAGTCACACCAACTTGGTGCCAGATTTAAGATCGGTTAACCGAGTTGTGCAATTCGAGAGAACAGCCTTTTTTAAACGTTATATTTTATTTCTGCATTTCATCGATATACAATTTTTAAGAGGACTAGCGCCAGCCGCTATTACAACTTAATAATAGTTTTAAAATAATTCATTGATGTTGATCGATGTGTTGACATCCAAAATTATTTGATTATTTTTGTCCTCAATGAACAATTGGTTTTTGTCTTTTTACAGACAGATTTTGTCCTCAACAGATGATTCTGTATTTACAACTCTGCACAATTGCATTGACCCAGGGTATATCAATGCAAAGTACCTTGCCACAGTTGGCACATCATAAATCATACAAAACCAAGTTGCCATGACAAGAACAGCGAAAAAAGCACTCAAATCCGAATAGACATTATCTAGAGTCGAATCAAGGTTGTTAGGGTTGGTTCGCCAACACTCTACCCAGCACACTACTGCTGCTTTTTTGCTGCTCATTCGGGAATATTGCTTCGCCAAATAATCTTAAAAAATTTACTATTTTGCCGCCTGAAAAGTTTGAGAAGCACAACTCTATCTATGTATTCTATTTAAATTGCAAATATCTCTATGCTTGATTGACGTCGATGAAATGTGAATGTGATGATTATTCAGAGTCATGGATTGGACTAAGGCGTGTAGCCATCGCCTGGTTTTAGGGGTCAAATTTTATAATTATTTTCTTAATTTTTTGAGGTTTTTAAAACTCTTTTAAATATGTCGAAACCAAAATCTTTGAAAATATAAAAATTCACTACGTCACTGCCAAAACTTATAATGAAAACCGGTAATTCTCAAGTTTGTGTTGAATATTAATCTTTTACTTTCAATATTAGCAGGTTAAACTCAAAAGATGTTGTTTTTAAAATTATTTGCTATTATTTTTATTAATTTTATCAGTTTTTGTTCAGTTAATAGTGATTTAAATAATTGTGGAAAGTCGCTAGTTGGCAAGGGAAATATAATTGGTGGTTCACAAGTTCCAAGAGGAGTTTTTCCATGGTAAAAGTTGACATTCACAATATAAATTGTTGGTTTAAAAGTCAAGAAAAACTTTCAATTACAGGTCTACAGCGCTTGTCAAATCTGATGGACAATTTTTCTGTGGAGGGACTCTTATATCCAAAACAAAAATTATCACAGGTGAAAATTAAATTTATGTTATTTAACGTCTTTATTTGCAGAGCTTGAAGTCGATAGGGTTCGAATTAAGTCGAGTTGACTCGACTTGTCTCAAAACTGAATTGACTCAACTTGTCGCCTCGATTTTGAGCTCTGTTTATTTGTAAAAATTTGGGTTCTGTTTACCTATTCTGTTCTGATCTGAAGTGCTAGTCATATTCTATGTGAAGTATCGTTCACTTATTAAGTTCAGACGACACGGAGAATTTTTATTGTTTAATTATTGTCTAACCCCTTCCCGTGCCTGAACGTAATAAGTGAACGACCCGTTATCAAAAATAATCCCTGCCTGTCTACCCCTTTAATGCCCCTGCATTAAATTAACAGCCGCTCACTGTATCCATGAGAAACATTCAACTCGTCAAACAACAGCACATGAAATTCGTGTTCTTCTTGGTGTCTACGATCTAAATGATCAATATGAAGTCGGTCGATTCACAGCAGCAGTAAAAAGTATCGAAATTCATCCAGACTGGAATCCTAATATTGTGTCATTTGATGCTGACATTGCTATAATAACACTTGAAGAACCAGTTCAATTTACTAAGTATATCCAGCCAATCTGCTTAAACTCCCCTGTAAGTTCAAAGGGATTTGTTGTAGGCTATGGAAAAAGTGAAGATTTGTTAAAAAATCATGAAAATATTCCTAAAATTATTGAAACTCCAATTCATGAAAATGCAAATTGTTTCTTGAAAAATCAACAACTTGTCAGCATATCAAGCAGCCGAACATTTTGTGGAGGTAGTGGAGATGGTCAAGGAGTTTGTACAGGAGATAGTGGAAGTGGACTTTTTGTAATTTATCAACAAACATTTTATTTACGAGGCATTGTTTCGTCATCACTATTTAAATTTGGACAGTCTTGTGATGTTGATTCTTATTCTGTATTTACGGATATAAGTCATTTCAATGGATGGATTTTAGACAATTTAGGGAATTTGACTAATTCGAACAGCGTTTCTATTAATGAATATGAGAGAAAATTTAAGGAAATTCAACAATCGCTTGAAAATCAAAAGTAAGTCAATTAATTTTTGCCTTTGAAGCTTTTAGTTCTTGCCTTGTTATTTATTCTCATTGAATTAACATTTCAGACCAATCAGAACTACAGGTGTTTGGGTACAATGGAGCAAATTTAAAGAAGGTGTACCAGAAAATGCTGTGAGAAGCAACTACGACGATAATGATAAATACTATGTCCATAGAGCATATCATGAAGGAGACTTGATTCCTGGAAAATTTGCGATACTCGAAAGAAAATCTTATATAAGTTATGATGGAAAAGAATACATCAAGGATAATTCTGAGGTGAGTGCTTGCCTTCAAACTTTATAATTCTCAAAAAAAAATTAAAATTAATGCTTTTTATTCACAGCTCTTAACCCACACTAATTATGTCTGGTCTGATAACAGAAACGATGGTCTTCAACTTATCGATGGTGGCGAAGACAAGTATGGAACTAAATTGTATATATGCAGAGTTGCTCATAAAGAAACTTGGGTTGGAGGAAAACTTCTTAATAATTTTTGCTATTTTCCATGGGGCGGTGAAGAACTCAATAGTAGTTTGTATCAAGCATTGAAGAGAAAATCTTAATTATTGTTAAGCTACAGATTGTCATTACAGACTAGTATTGTACCCCGTGCAGGCATGATGTGTAGTTTTTAAGGTTATGACAAAACGCAATTTAAATTCATATTTTATTTAAATTTTTTCTTATTTTTTGAAAACTATAATCTTGTCAGATCAAGTGACGAAGAATGAAAGGGTTGATAATAAAAAAATCGTGGACCTGTGTCAAGTAACTTTCTATGTAGACTTAACTACAAATAAAACTAAGCAAATTTGCACAACCAGTTCTTGTTCTTGTTATTTAAAGCTTCCTGAAGGTTTCTTACTTGGTCTTTCAGCTTCTCATTTTCTTCGTTGAGTAGTCTCAGTTTATCACCAAATACGTCATGTCCATCACTCTTTACAAAGCTAGTAAATTTCGACACATCAGTTAAAATTACATGTTCGGCTCTTTTACAATCATTCTGTATATTTCTTTGAGATGTTGAAACAATTCCACGCAAATAAAAGTTTCCATCTTTAAAAACAATTAATCCACTTCCAATGTCGCCTTTACATGATCCAGTACCATTCTCATATACACCACAAAATGTTCTAGAACCCAAAATTGATTCAAGATCCTTGTTGGTTGAACAAGTTTGATGCTTAATGATATAAACTTTTGAAGTCATTCCGGAATCAAGATCATCAATTTTATTAAATCCAATAATTTTTCCCGGCAAATTATCAAAATTTTCAGCATCGGATTCAATCAAACAAATAGGTTGAATAAAGTCGTCAAACTGAATTTCTTCAGTTAACTCCAAAACTGCAATGTCTGCGTCATATGAACTTTCTTTTTGATTCCAGTCCGAATGAATATTGATTGATTTTACAGAAGCAGAAATTCTGTTCATTTCAGTTATGTCTAGATTGTGTCCACCTAATATAACATTGATGTCTGGAGACTCATGATTAATGTTTGCTGCGTTGTCAATGAAGCAATGAGCCGCTATCAAATAAATATAAAATTATTTAACAAAAAAAATTGATTAAGGCTAATATCTGTAAACCTTAATAAGTTTTCAATCTCACCTGTTACAATAGTTTTATTTGAAACCAGAGTACCTCCGCAGACATATTTTCCTTCTGCTGTAACCAAGGCTGCATTCCTGATCAACAGTTTAAGAAATTATAATTTTTCTACACGTGTAATTCATGACCTACCAAGGATACGATCCTCGTTCGATTTGTGTTCCTCCAAGAATAGATTCCTTTCCAATTTTATGAGTACCACAGGTTAAATCTGAGTTGAATATAGGGTAGTTCATTTATTACGTCCATCAAAAAACCTAATTTTTAAAACCTCTCCCCTCTGTCACAAACTGTCACAGACGTACAATCCAAGGCACAAAAAAATTATGTTTTTCTCATTAAAAAATTGGATGTCACAAAATTTCCTGAACCCGCTCCCTCCCATGTCATCAAGGCGTGGAAACTATCCGAAATATCCCATTTATCCCATAAATCCCAAAAATATTCAAAAAATTCCTGAGCATGTATGCGCGATAATAAAGATATCCCAACGTGTCTTTAGTGCATTGGACGTGTAATTTCAGGATATGATGGGATATCTCAATTCTAATGCATACAGGCTCAAGGATTGTTTTGAATATTTTTGGGATATATGGGATAGTTTCCACGACTTGCGTGTCATAATGTGTCACAAATTTTTTAAAACCCCCCAAAATGTTGGACGTCATAAGTGAACGACTCCTTTAAATGAAATTACACTTTAAACCACATTTTTATTCAAGGCTGCCAAAAGTCGTGCAGTTCTATGAAAAAAAGTAATTGAATCTCATTTAACACTCACTTGATTCCTTTCGAGGAACATAGTTTTCAAAACATTTTTTTAACTTTTTCCTCATATCACTTTTGCTTGTTATTTTGGATCTAAAGCAAAAATTGGATATCTCCATGTCAAGGTTACTAACTGCAACTTTGTCAAACAAGATTTTATTAATTTGGCTAATTTTGTTCTGCTTCAAATCAATATTTTGTAACTTTGGGTGAATTCCAAATGAGTCAGAATGAATAACAGTAAGTTCATTTGCCCATAGCCATAAATGCTGCAAGTTTTCCAGTGGGTTGAACACATTCTTTGGTAAATCCGAAATTTTGTTGAAATTTAAATTTAAAATTCCCAGATTCTTAAGATTCTCAAACCATTCTGGGTTTAGTGATTTAAATCCATTACTTTGAATTGATAAAATGTGAAGATTTTCAAGGTTGTTAAATATCTTTGATGGTAGATGTAAGAGCTCATTTGATGAAATCGTCAATGCACTAAGATTTTTTAAATTTTTAAAAATATTTCCATTAAGTTCCTTTAAATTATTGTTTGATAGTTCGATTAATGCTAGTTTTGTGTTTGTAGAAAATAAATTTTCTGGTAAATCATTAAGATGTCCATTATTCATACGAATAGATGTAAGTCCTTCACATTTTTGAAATAAATTTTCATAAATCGATTTCACTTTAAATGTTTTAATTCGTTCAATATTTTTAAATCGTTCGCAAAACGAATATTCTGAAGAATTTAAATGAATAATTCCATCAACTACAACTCCAATCACATCATCGTCGGTTTTATCACTCAAATGAATTTCATTTTTATGCTCTATGTCTGGTGTGATTTCACATGTATACAGACTAAAATCATCCTCGTATTTATAATTACTAAACTTGTAATTGAATGCAAAAAATGCATTTACATTTAATAATAAGATTAGACATAAAAGATGAACTTTTGAAGGCTTCAACGACATTATAATCTTCAATTTTTAATGCTCAGTCACTAAAACCTTTGACTTATTTCTTCAAAAACTGATTAACAACTAATAAATCAGTTTTAATTGATCAACATCTTTATACAAATCCGCTCTCGTTCTTACTAAATGAGACTTAAAGAGACAATAAATAAACATCAAATTTGTGTGGAAAATCCAAAAGAATGTAAACAAGTTCTTAATGCTGTTGTACGTTGTTTGGAGATGATATTAAAGAATTAAAACTAGGCTTTCCGTGTAGATCTCCCTATAACTGCTATATGTATATACTTATGTAATCCAAGTCGAGCTCGATGGGAATAGAACCCCCGAGCTCAAAAGAGGCGATTACTGACCACTCGATCAGAGATCCTTGCCACTCCGCCACATAGGTACTTATCTCACTTGGGCTATAATTCATACACATATAGTTCAACGCGAGCCTTATGCTCAGGCCGATTTACTACAGATATGCTTTAGGGCAATAGTGGGATCCGAACCACTCTTTTGATGACATTTATGCCTGTAGCTTCCAAATGAAGGTTTTGATCCTCATTTCCAGTACAAGTGAAAAATTTCTCAAACCCAGTCTCGAAATCATGATCGATGTGTCGGTATTGCAATAATTAGGTACCAAAGTACTCGCCAACGAGCCACTTCAGCTCTCGGAGCCAAATCCATATTTAAAGTGAAATTCCTGCTTTTACATTTCAATGGCTCGCAACAATTTCAACCTACAGAAAATAATCATTACTTAAAAATTCTGGTTTTTCCAACGGTTTTTCACCAAAATTCATCAAAAATTAAAATATATTTTTTAAAAAACCTTTTTATTTCAACATTGTTAAGCCTAAAGTTCTACAAATTTTCGTCTTACTTCATTTTTTTTAATTAAAATTTCCTCTTTTTCAACCCTTACGGGTAGTACAAAATAAACGCTTACAATTATAATATACAAGCTATAAGTTAAACTCATCTTTGCTTGAGAACATTTAACAAAAGTTAAACTCATCTTTGCTTGAGAACATTTAACAAAAGTTAAAATCTTCTTAGCATGAGTCTCCTGAATTTAAATTACAACGAAATTAATAGAATTTAATTTATTTCAATTTTTTTCATAATAGTTAATAGTCAAGTGCATTCAATTTTAGTAATAATTGACTTAAAATAGCAAGGAACCTTAACATTGTATCAAAATCAAATTTACCTTTTATTTTCAAGATTTTCGGCAAGAAAACAATAAATTATAACAAAAAATATTAATTTATGCGAAAATCAACATCCAGGTAAATATTAGTACACAGTCAATAATGAAATAATTAAATCTAACCCGAATGGCTCAAGTCGGTTAATCGAATAGAAATCCGATGCCCAGTCGGTATGACTCTGGCATGGTGCTAGCTCTGATTTAAATCAAGCATCATGCCAGACTCACACCAGCTTGGTGCTGGATTTCTGATTAATTAACTGACTTGTGGCATTCGGGTAAGTTAAAATGGATAACTTTTTCATGTTTTTCAAATAATTTTAAACTATTTTCCATAGAAACCCAGTAAATTTATCAATTTATGGAATTTAGTGGAAAAGATTTCCAACTTTGCCCATCAAAAAAATAACACATTTGACATAACCTTAAATCCTAAAAACACCACAAAATACTTTTTCCTTAATTTCACTAAAGTGCATCTAAATGTTCAACATCAAGTTGCTGTGTTTCGAGTTCAGTCCTAAAATAGTCAATTGTAAGTTGTAAGCCCTTCTTGAGTGAAACTTTTGGTTCCCAATCAAGGACCTTTTTGGCTCTTGAAATGTCAGGCTTTCGTCTTTGTGGATCATCTTCGACCCCATTTAAGTGCTGAATTTCAGATTTCACATTGAGAAACTCTTTAATTATTTCGGCAAATTCTAAAAAAGGAGCAATTCGATAAAATTTATTGAAAATATTTGATTAGACTCAATTTACCCTGAATTGTGTGTTCCTGAGGGTTTCCTAAATTGACAGGTTGTGTATAGTTTGAGTCCATTAGCATAACCATTCCATCAACTAAATCGCTGACATACTGGAAGCTCCTAGTGTGCTTTCCATCACTAAAAATAAGAAAAATATGAAAAATTAATATTAATTGATTTAAAAACCGAAAGACAGACTGAGAAAGGCTGAAAATTATATTATTATAAAACCTCCGACTGGTTATGGCATTACTAACCCATAAACTGTGATTGCCTCTTTCTTTAATGCCTGAAGAATGAAGTTTCCAACAACTCGTCCATCATTCATATGCATTCGAGGTCCATAAGTATTAAAAATTCTCGCAACTCTCACATCAACCTTCTCTTGCTTTGCATAAGCATAACTGAGAGTTTCAGCTACTCTCTTGCCTTCATCATAACATGCACGTGGTCCAATTGGATTCACATGACCCCAATAAGATTCTGATTGAGGATGGTGACTTGGATCTGGATCACCGTATACTAAAATTTAAAGTTCAGATGTAGATCATGATTGGATATGATTAACAGTATGATAAGTTACCTTCTGATGTTGAAGCTATCAGAATTTTGGCTCCAACTCTTCTTGCAAGACCTGAAAAATTATGTAAATTTAAATTATTGTAACTTAATTGCCGACATCAACTTACCCAACATATTAATCGTTCCTAAAGTATTAGTCTTAATAGTTTTTACAGGATTGTACATGTAATGTATTGGAGATGCTGGCGATGCGAGATGATAAATTTGGTCTATCTCGATATATAATGGATTGACAATGTCATGCTGTATAAGTTCAAAATTCGGATGTCCAATCCAATGTCGGACATTTTTTTTACTTCCTGTGAAAAAATTGTCGGCTACCACAACCTCGTGACCCTAAAAAGAGGAAATGATTAATTTTGAGGTGGTGGAATTATTGAAATGGTTACATAAGCTTATTAAATGTTTCGGTTGGCGAATTAATTAAGTGTAAAAAATGCTTAAAATTCAGAATTGTTTGCAGAATTAAAAAAATATTTTTATTGGCATACTTGAGAAATCTAGTGACACACCAAAGTGTCGAGAATCATAGCTTGGAATTCACTGCTTTAAAATGAGGTCCATAATTTTATCGACAACTTCTGTCAAAATTCTATAAACTACCCGAGTGGACAAAGAACTAGTTACAAGCTTGCCATTGACTTGCCTATTTTTGGTGAGTAAGTATCCATTGACTTGCCTTTGCAACTAGACTTAGGAACGACTAATGGCATATTTTGCATGTTCCATTTAACAAAACATGCAAAAAAATCAAAATAAAATAAAACCCGCGTGCCGTTTTCTCCGATTTTTAATTCTTATGTAAAATTTTATTATAGTATTAGTGTAATTAATTAATTAAAGTCCACTAATACTTATGAAAAATCTCTAGTAATTATATTAGTGATTTCTGCAAACTCTTGTGAAGTATATAGTCAAAAAAGTAAGGAAATATTGATTATAGTTAGAACATTAGCATGAATGTCTAGTTAAAGTCTAGTTCTGTATGTCTTATGAATTTTGGCAAGTTAAAAGACTGGTAAATGTTTGTCTGGTAATGGACTTAAACTAGCTGTGTCCACCCGTACTAAAAAATATTTTTAAAAAATCCTATTCAAATTAAACTAAGACACAGAAGTCTTTTGCACCAATAACCTGCTTCCACAAGTTATTTTGATAAATTATTGTTTGAATTATTTGAATTAAAATTTCCCAAATTTAAAAATATTGTTTCTTACTAAAATGACTCAATTCAATGTAGGCAATAAATGTGATAAGAAACATTTGTTTCAATACAAGTCATGTCAACCACGTAAACAGTCTTGTTTTTCTATGGAATGTAGTACAATATTAGAAAGTTGCACAAAGTTTTGCAACAATTTTTCTTTATTTTTGCATTTCAACTCACCTGTTTCATTAAATAATCGACTAAGTGACTTCCGACGAATCCTGCGCCTCCTAAAATTGTATAAAAAATCAAAAATTGAAATGATTAAAAATCAAAAAAAAGGGAAAATTTAAGACTTGAACTTTACCTGTCACGAGAATCCGCTTTCGGACTTGATAATTTAAAAATTTGACTGTTTCATACTTCTTTGGTATCCTACACTCAAGATCATCAAGTCGTTCCTCTAATTTCTTAATCTTATCTTGTGCTAATTTTAATTCTTCGTCAGTATTACTATCGATCATCTTCTCCGCAAACTCATCATGATATATTAGATTAATGCTATTATGTTCATCAGTTGATATACTTTTATAAACTGAGAAAACTTTAAAGATATCAAAAAAAATTATTACTTCTATTGTCAAATATTTGGAACTCATAAAAAACTTACCTAAAACGAATAAAACTAAAATTAATAAAACTTGCTTCATTCTTTTCTTGTGGATCATTTAGTTGTTAATTTATTATACTATGTACATATTTTAAGAATTATTTTTAAACTTTATTATTATTTTTTACTGTCCACTATTATTTCTTCTTCAACTGCCCTTTACATACATGAAACTGAAATGAAAATAATATTTTTTTTCTCTCTTGATAAAGGTTGATTTACATTTATTTTGTTTATGTTTTGATTAGTAAGTTTTGAAATAATCGGTTAACGTTTTGGTTTGAATGTCAAGACTGTTGAACATGTGATTGGACATAATTTGAAGATACATTTTCAAAATTAAATCATTTATTTGAAAATGAGCAAACCAAATTTAATTAATTTTTGTAGGTAAAAAAATTATATTTTTATTCAAAATGGTGGCATTTTAGTTCAAATTATTCTTGTTAAAAATATTATATTTAAAATAAAATATTTAATTTTATTAAAATCGCTTTTAAATGTTTAAAATCTCCAATATGTTTGAAATAAATGAACGACGAAAACATAGTTTTAGCAGTTAAGTGCCTTGCTGGGCGAATAGTTAAGGCGCTTGCCTCAAATTTGGGATTGTAACTCGAAGGTCGTCGTTTTGAATCCAGCCATTTTCAAATTTGTTCTTTTTCGGAAGTTTAGATACTTCGACTGCTTAATGTAGGAGATCAAGCCATAATTGGGCATTTGGGCAACGTTGGATTAAAGAACGGGTCAGAAACTTGAAGTGTAGCAGGAGAAATAGAAACGAGAGCTACAAGATTACCCACGAATGGAATATTGTTAGAACGGATCTGAAAAGTATCACGTCATGCCCACAGAAGAAGCCTGAATTTAATCGAAACCTAGATTTGAAGATTAAATGCTTGGTTAATTTATCGTGCCTTCAATAAGTAAAAAAATAAATTTTTAAAGAATTTCAAACTTTGAACTGTTCAAGTTTCACTCAAATGTTTTGAAATAATCAAAAATAAAATATTTTAATTATTAAATACTTGCTTTATTGATCTTATTTCTAATTATCATTAAAACTTATTTTCTGTTATTTTGTCATGATAAGACTTTGTGGGCAAAAAAGTCTTTTTTTTTTCGTTTTTAAAAAATTGATTGTTTAAACGAGAATTCATTAAAATTCAAGGATAAATTGATAAACCTGAAACTACTGTTTATTTATTTTTTCACAGATCCATGTGCTTTTTACTGACACGGCAACTCTTTATGATAAAAATGAGACTTTGAACTACCAAATATTTAATATTTTGATTAGAGTAGTTTTTTAACTTTGTGGAATATTTTAATTTAGCCATTTTATTAAATCCTTAGTTTGTAAGCACGTTTTTTTTTTCTTAACTTGCTTTCTTTGATAAAAGAATGTGAGAACAATTTTTAAAAATAAAAACCACGAAGCAGAAATATTTACAAAAAGTAGAAAAATAATAATCACGATTATCAATATAATGAATTTTAGGTTTGTCACTAATAAAATTGTCAAACAATACAAAAAAAAGAGTTGAATTTCACTTTCCTTTTAAATTTAAATAATTTGTGTTCTTTTGACATTAGATGATATTTGTATACGACATTCATATAAGTTTAAAGCACTCCCAGATTTTTTTATATTTGCACAAAAAATTCCCAATTTTGTAAATCATAAATGACACCATAAAATTTGCAGACAACGTTGTTTAGAACTTTATTTTGCTAACTCATCGTTTGGTTTTTCTTTGTGTCATTATTGAGTTGAAAATAAAACTTAAAATTTTAATGCCAATTGATACATGATTTAAAACCTGAACGATTTCGCGAAAGGAATTGGAATTTCCGTCTTTTGTCTTTATAACAATTAGCATTGTGCGCAAAAAATTAATTAAACAATCTGAACATAAGAATTGTAAGAATTGTATGATTACCACTTAAAATCATAATTTAATTTGGAAATTCCAAGTTTTTTTGGAGTGAATCCCCGAGTTTTTAACAAAATTTAATGAAGGATTAGAATTAATAAAACCATCAGCAAATAAAGAAGAAATGCTAAGATTAATGTTTTTCAAACTTCTCCGTTTTATATATTTTGCAACAGGATGAACCAACGTGTGGAAACACAAGATTAATCCTGAAAAATCCCAAAAATCCTAAAAAGTCTCTGAGCCAATAAACATGAAAATGTTAAATCCCTGAAGCATTAGATGAATAATTTCGTGGTTTAAAAGGATTTTTCAGGATTAATCCTAAGTTTTCACGCCTTTGGATAAACATTTACGACTATAAACAATTTTACAATTTTAGAACCTAATGCCGGGAGTTCCGAAATTGATAAACCATAGAGAAAATCAAAAGTTTAGAACCACACCTCCCATTAAGTTTAGAATATTTGCAAAAAACTTATGTAGACAATCAGAAATCCAAAATAATCCACTTTAGTGAATCAAGTAAAATCGGTCTGTTAAATAAATTTTGATAAAAATCTAATTTATTACATCCTCGAGTTTTTTATTTGAGCTCTTTAAGACTTCCAATAAATAATTTTAAGAGTGAAAGTGAAAACACAAAAGATTAGTTTTTTTTTAACAAAAAAGCGTTTTAGATTTTAGAGTTCGATTTTGACAGATCTAAGTTTAATGTATTCAAAACGCACGCAAAAACAATATTTTATAATGTCACAGATTCCAAAATAACTAAGATTAATTTAGAACCGAAGTTAATGTCCAAGAATAGGGTGACCATCTGCGTAGTTTTACAACGGACAGTCCTGTATTTCAAAACCCTGTCCTGTATAAATTTGAAAATTTTGTTCCAGGTCCTGTATTTTTTTCACGAAAATTTCCGTTAATTTTCACATTTTCCTTTGTGCCCTGTATTTTTTGGGAAATTTGTCAAATGTCCTGTATTTTCATAAAAATTAGATGGTCACCCTATCCAAGAATCAAATGACATTAAGATGCATTTTATCATACGACGTTTCACTCCTAACATTTTAACTTTTGTGGAGGTTTTAAAGGTTGAATGTTTTTTTTCTTTAACAAACAAGGATTTTTATTTAAATTGCGTTGTTTGGTAGATTTATCGTGGCTTCTTTTATTCTTAAGAAATTGAAAAATCTTTTTTATCTCAAGAAATTATTTCGAACCTCATTTTTTTAAAAAAAGGCTTTTTTAATAAATAAAATTATTGGCAAAATTGTCACATCAAGTAGATCAAGAAAATTAATTTATTATAATTTTTTTAACATTAACTTACCTAGCAAAACTTTATGTTTTAAAAAAAATTAATCAGTTTATTAAATTGATTTCAATATAAATATTCTTTTAGATTCTCAGTTAAAATAATTTCTTTCGAATAATCTCTAGAATTAACACAACACTTGCTATCGATTCACAACGACTAATTTTTGCCAAAAATCTTATTGAGACTAAGAGTGGTCGCATCGTTCTCTTCGTCTTAAATACCATAATAAGAATCTCAAATTCGCAAAAAAAAAATTTTCAGCAAGTTTTATTTTTTGCGCGAACAGAATGATTTTGCATTTCACGTTTTGCGACTATCATCTTCCTTTTTTAAGCTGCGTGGTGCTCAAAGATTTGAGGTCGTAAATTAAACATTCAAATGTAATTTTTCGTGATCAAAAATCTTCCTTGAGAATTACTTAATTTCCATAGAAGTGTGAAGCACATTCGAAACCAATCAATTTCTTGTTGTGTGATATGTAAAAAATCCATCAAAATAGATTGCTTATCAAAATATCATAATCAAGTTCTGTTTTGACTGACCTACATCAACCAATTAATAAAACTACTCAATATTATCGCTATCTTAACTCATGTGACTTTCAATTTCATTCATAATTGAAAAAATGCTTTAATATTTTTTTTCATTAGCTCCAGGGGCGTGATCAGGGGAGGGGGGAATTTCTGTGACAAATCCACCTACGTTAACAAAAAATCTTGTCATTTTGCTAGGGGTTTTCTCAAAACATCCAACCTCCCCCTCCCCCTCTTTTCCAAATTAAAAGTTTTTTACCCCCACCCACTCTTCAAATTCCTAGCTACACCCCTGATCAGCTCACAGATGTTTTTTTTTCACATATAAGTTGTCGCGCGCTCATTTATGTTTGGTAAATGAATTTAATTAAGACTCTTTTTTTTACGGGCAGATAAAACTAGCTGCAGAGAGTGGAAAAGCCTTTAGTCATATATGATTCAGTGACTTCTACGAGAGAGGGAATCGTAAAAATTTTTAAATGCTATTGGAAGTCTAGTTGTAATTTAACTACAGTTGAAGGTAGACAGCAAGGAAAAAAATCTTTGAAGAATTTTAAAGTTAATTAATTAAAGTTTAATAAAATAAAATACTAATAGGACTATTGACAGGAGACGTTTTTGAAAAATTGATAAAATTTATCAGACTCGTTGAAATTGAATTTAATTTATTTATCAATATGACTTAGGATTAATGAATAAAATCTTACAATTCAGATTGATTAAATCTTGTCACTTAATTAAAAAAATCAATTTAGTGAAAAATCAAAGGAAAAATCTTTTAGGTTTTTAATTGATAAAAACCTCGACAGTTGATTGAGTGAAGTAAGAGGTTGATTAACCAAAAGAAACTTAAAAGGCAAATCAATTGATCACGGTTATATTGGGCTTACCAAATATATTTTGAAAAATTGGAGGGCATTTCTAATATTTTATGAACTTTCTAGTCTTCTGAAAAACCAAACAGATCGCTTAGGTAAAACCTAATATTTCAATAAGTCTGTTAAAATATCTTTTTCGGGTATAAACAATCCACAGCTGATCAATCAAGTAAAACTCTTGCCAATAAGCCAAAACCATTCAATCAATCTAATAAACATCCACAAACTCTAAAAACTCTAAAACTTGATAAACCACATACCCCAGTTCAACAACATCATTTGCCATCAGTAAAACAAACCAAAATAAACGAAATATTCCAAATGCAAAATGTGGAGCTGGAAGCACTCAGTGTCATTAGCCTTTGTCTATGTGACAGTTGCTTCATTTTTTATTGACTTAAAGCATTACTTCAAACCAATGGACAAGAATTTTCAATTAGAATGCTCTGATCCATCAGGCGATGAGAGTGTCACATGTCATTTTTTGAAAATTTATACACAAAAATCACATTTTAACATCACAATGATTCACACAACTGGAAATTTTTCTGCTGCTGAACTACAACAAGTGACGAATATCGGATTGCATAAATATAATATGCCGGAATATATGCCAGGTGTGTAAGCTATGCTTGATACTTGAATCGTAAAAATCAAGATCAAGTCTATTAAAATATTAAATGGAAATGTTTGACAAAAATTAACCTGATTCTTCTTCTTTGCAGGAAACTTAGGAATTTTCTTACCCAAACTCGAAGAACTTCACATCACAAACTCGATCCTCAAACACTTAATAAGACAAAGCTTTAAGTTAATGACATCCTTACTCATCCTCGATCTTGACAACAATGAGATTGAGCATATTCCTCGAGATACATTTTATGACCTTCATAATTTAGTCTTTCTCAAATTAAATGGCAATAAAATCAAGGAACTCCGTCAACCACTTCTAGATCGTCTTCATCATCTCCACTCATTTAGTGCTGTAAATAATAAAATTTCACGAATTGATACTAGATTTTTTAGACAAAATCGAAGGATTAAATGGATTTATTTGACTGGTAATAAGATTGAGAGATTGGGCATTGATTTTAAGCATTTTCGACACTTAAAGGCTGTGGACTTAAGAAGGAATTCTAGAGATTGTAACTTTTTGTTTAATGTTAATCATAGGAGCAATTTCACTGTAGCAAATTTTCAGAAGAATGTGACTAATTATTGTAGTGGAAAAATTTAAAAAATTTTTATAGTTTGAATAAATTTTTTATTTATTGAAAAATTTTGCAATTTTAATTTTTTATTTTTTCGTAGATTTTTATGCTGTTTCTTGAAAAATTATGACATCTAGAACAATGAATTGCCAGGAATTTCTTTTGTTATTTTCTTGTTGACCCCCCCTCTTTAGGGTGAGTTTCTCGTTTTTTCTTTTCTTTTCATTTTAATTGCACTTTATTGCATTTATTGACGTTATACTGTCCGGTAATAATTCACATTTTTGACATATTTGTGTTTATATACATATGAATTAATATTATGTAGGATCAAACTTCCAATCTTCAAAACTAGGTTTCATTCATGGGTAATTTTTCAGCTCTCGTTCCTATTTCTCCCGCTCCACTTCAAGTTCCTAACCCGTTTCTTAATCCAACGTTTTCCAAATGCCCAATTATAGCTTAATCTCCTACATTAAGCAGTCGAAGTATCTAAACTTCCGAAAAAGAACAAAATTTGGAAATGGCTGGATTCGGACCGACGACCTTCGAGCTATCATCCCAAATTTGAGCAAAACGCCTTCCTTATAGACCAGCAAGGCCCTTAACTGCTCCAGTAATCCTACTCTTACACCTACACCTGCATCTGGTGTATGAATAAGTGGTCCCATCAGGTGTAAGGGTAGGCGTAGGTGCAGATGAATGTGTATGCCGAGAAACCCTTCCCTGGCCGTCAAAAGTGAACGGCTCCTTTAGCAAATTTCGAATAATATTCTGAAACAAACAACAATTCAAAAAACACAAACATTTTCGCTTCGTTTTTTTTCTCTCTTTTTCTTCAATAATAAATGCTCATCCTTTATACTTTTTTCTTTATTTTAGAAATGTAAGAAATTTGAAGTGCAAGTAAATGAAGTAAAATTTTTTCATAATTTTTTACCATATATATTCCATTCATTCAAGAAAAAAAATTCATTATATATTTTTTTATCGTCTACAAGTTTTTTTTTCTTTCAGTGTATAATGATTCTCAATAATAAATTTGAGTAAAAATTATATAACAAAAAAATTATTTAATATAAAAAAGTCAACAAAAAAGAGGGATTTTTTTCGTATTTTTGTGATGATAATTAGTACAATTAACAAATGTTAAAAAATGTCAAAGAAAAAAAAATTATTTTGTTCTAAGCTCAAAAAGCGCGCTAAGTGAGAAAGTTACGCTCACAAGAAATGTTCGCGCCATAATAAATTTTCCTTACTTCCAATAAAATTATTTCTCATGTGAAAGCAGAAGTTAAAAATAAATTAAAAAAAATTAGTAACTCCCATTCTTCCGCGTGGAAGTTCAGAGAACACAAAGATGTAATCTTTTACAAGATTCTTGGAACTAAAATGAGTCCGCCTGGTGCACCCATCGGCAATTGGAGGAGTCCTTGGTTGCTGCCACCTCCAGTACCAGCACGACGTGGCAAGCGGTGCTGAAAAACGCAATGTGGCTTCATACAACCTTGTGGTTGATCTTCCCAGTAGCATTTTGTCTGTGAGCGGGGTTTCTAAAAATGTAGAAAATTAAACATTTAATTTCTTGGTAAACTTAAGTATAGGAAGTGACACAAACCTGTATTTTCATGTGACGCATCGTGCACTGACGATTGAAGCACTTATTTTCAAGCCACAACTTGCATACTTCTTCATGACCAAGACAACTTGGTTCGTGCCTAAAAAATAAAAAAAAACTTAAATTATGGTACATTTTTGCAGGTTTAAAGAAGGTCATTTGTGCTGCTTTATATTCTTATCAGTTCTATTACAAGCAGATTATTAAGGAGAGGTAAATCAAAGAATCCTCGTGTCCACTTCAACATCAAGCTTGCCGGCAAACAAATTGTTTATTGAAACTGCTGGAAATTAAGCTTAACATTCTTGTTGATATTATGGAAATTTTAACACGTCTCTTAATTAATTTACTAAATTTTAAAATTGAGATTATGAAAAGAAATTTGAATAAATTCCATATGGACATCTTCATTAATGACAAGTTACTAGTTAGAGTTAATTGCAATGCAATTGAATAATTGAATTAAATGATTTCCAGAAATGATTTAGAAATCCAAAACCTCAAATTCTAAATTTCACCACATCAATGCACTTCAAAATCTAGGAAAAATCCCCCTAAAATTAATTAAATTAATAAATTAGCTTTACCTGTAAGAACATGAGCTGCCCTTCTTGCATGTCGAATAGTAAAAGAAGTAGCAATCTTGAAGATTCTTAGGAACTTCCATTTCCTGATCTATGTTATTTGCCTCAGCCACTTTTCACGACAAAAATTTTTTCACACTCCAGAAACAAAAAATCAAAAAAACTATTTTTTTTGGTGATTCTTGTTAAAGAACAATTTTTTATCTAAAATTTATTATTTATTTTTTACTATGTGGAGATTTTTTTTTTTTGTGTTTTTCTTCTTTTTATTTTTTATTCGTGCCTGTTTTTTTTATAATTTTTACATGTTTCTGAATTTTTTTTTCTTTTCGACGAGGAGAAGAAAAAAAATTTTTGGTTGACTTTTTTTTTTCTTCAACTTTTTTGCAAATTAGTTCTTTGCAATTTTTGATTCACTGCATTGAATTGACGATTAGACGACACTTAACCCTGACACCATACAACTAATTTCCCATAAAAATCAAATAAAATGAAAAAATTTTCTTTATTTTATCCCACGAAAAATAAAATCTGTGGGAAGGAAATGAAAAATTGGGTTAAAGATGTTAAAATGTTTTGCAGTTAACGGGAACAATGCAAATGCTATGAAATTCAACTCAATTGTCGATTGTCGAAACAACGTCGACATTTTTAAATATTACCGGTTTTTTAATCATTTTGTACAATTAAATACAATATTTTATTGAAATTATTCTCCTTTTCTATTTTACTCTAAACATTTTCAAAGAGGAATGGTTGAAAAGTTCTTAAACTTTCTAAAAACACTATAAACAATTTTAAGAGGACTAGCGCCAGCGGCCTTTACAACTTAATTATAGATTTAAAATAATTCATTGATGATGATCGATGCGATAACATCCAAAATTGTTTGATTATTTTCGTCCTCAACGGACAATTGGTTTTTGTCTTTTTACAGACAGATTTTGTCCTCAACGGATGATTCTGTATTTACAACTCTGCACACTTGCATTGACCCAGGGTATATCAATGCAAAGTACCTTGCCACAGTTTGCACGTCTCAAATCACACGAACCAAAATGCCATGACTAGAACAGCGAAAAAAGCACCCAAAATTTGACTAGCTATTATCTAGGATCGAACCCGGGAAAGATAGAATTCATTTTAGAAACCCTGGTTGCTAGAATATACTTGTAAATTATATAACCATATGTATTTAAGTAAATGCTTAACTGGTGAAGTTGATTCCGATGTCGAAATTCTTGAATATAATTGAAAATTAAAAAGCAACTAAAATTTAACTTTAACATTGTTCTGATATTAGATTATTTATTAGATTAAATGCAAAAATTTGCAAAATCTCGCAATAAAAATAATAAAACAATTATTTTAACCATTTAATTACTCACTGTTTGAAGGGATAATTTAACAGTCACGAGTTCAAACTAAACGTTTTTTATTAAAGAAAAGTTATTCTTGATGTCTACAACATGTCAAAATCTCAAGAATCAGGAAGAATTAATAATAAGTTCATTCCGTACTGATTGTAGAAAAGCATCAAATATTATTCAAAAATTGTGATTAAACTGACACTTTATAGATGTAATTGACCTAAATTTATGATCATCAACAAATGCACATTTCAACATTATTTTTTGAGAATTCTCAGCAATTTACTCAAGTTATTTACAGGAGCGTAGCAAGAGTGTTTGTCATCCAAGTTTATTTCAAAAACTGGGGTTCCTTTGTTTAAGAATTTAATAGCTAAAAGTCTATTCTTTCCTTGCTACTCCTCTGCTTCATATACAATATTGTAAGGAATTTGATTTCATGAATTATTGTACTTGAAATGAATACTTCTCTCGTTTTAAAATATTACGATAAGAAAATACTAAACAATTTCATGTTTTAGTTCCTCTGATAATGTTTTAGCTTGTAGACGTTCAAACTGGATAACTTTTTTCTCAGCATGAAGTATTTTTTTGTAATTGAATTTTAATTTTAAATTCTAAATCTTTTTTACAATTTCAGACTAAATTTTTTTATTAAAGTTATTATTTTTTGTGGAATCATCAACTCAATTAATTGCAAAACTCTCTTTTGTACTTTCACGGATGGTCCATACTACTCCATAATTGGAAATCCATATCAATGTAAAGTCGAAAATGAAACAAAAATTGTAAATGAATATCACGTTATAAATGATGTAAATGGAAGGCAATATGATGCAAATTCACATAGTGAAGTTCAAATGTTGTGGGTGACTGGGACTACATTCCATTATATTCCATTTGGAATTGGAAAATTCTTTGATAACCTTGAAGCAATTTGGATTAGATATGGAGGATTAAAAAAGCTAGAGCATGAGAAGATGAAACAGTTTCCGAATTTGAGGTCAGATTTTTGAATGAGATTTAGTTTCTATAAGTTTTGTTTGATCTCCTTTTGTTTATAGATATCTTTATTTAAGATACAACAGCATTAGAGTTCTCAAACCAGATGTTTTTAAAGGCAACCCAAAATTAGAATGGATCGACTTTAAAGGCAACAGATTGACATATGTAGATGGAGAAATTTTCCTGGCATTTACTAAGCTTCAGAACTTAAATTTCAAGAAAAATTACTGCATTGATCAGCAGCATAACAGTAAGTTTAATTATTGAGGGTTAGGAAAGTTGACCTTTAAAAAGTAAATCTTGAACAGACATTTGGTACCCAAAATTTGGGTATCATCAATGGGAAAATGTCAAAGGGTCAATAAGCTACTTGGCAAATAATCAATGGGTCAATAAGCTACTGAGCAAATAATCAATGGGTCAATAAGCTACTGGGCAAATAATCAATGAGTCAATAAGCTACTGGGCAAATAATCAATGGGTCAATAAGCTACTGGGCAAATAATCAATGAGTCAGTAAGCTACTGGGCAAATAATCAATGGGTCAGTAAGCTACTGGGCAAATAATCAATGAGTCAGTAAGCTACTGGGCAAATAATCAATGGGTCAGTAAGCTACTGGGCAAATAATCAATGAGTCAATAAGCTACTGGGCAAATAATCAATGGGTCAATAAGCTACTGGGCAAATAATCAATGAGTCAATAAGCTACTGGGCAAATAATCAACGAGTCAATAAGCTACTGGGCAAATAATCAATGAGTCAATAAGCTACTAGGCAAATAATCAATGAGTCAATAAGCTACTGGGCAAATAATCAATGGGTCAATAAGCTACTGGGCAAATAATCAATGAGTCAATAAGCTACTGGGCAAATAATCAATGAGTCAATAAGCTACTGGGCAAATAATCAATGAGTCAATAAGCAACTGGGCAAATAATCATGAGTCAATAAGCTACTGGGCAAATAATCAATGAGTCAATAAGCTCCTGGGCAAATAATCAATGAGTCAATAAGCTACTGGGCAAATAATCAATGGGTCAATAAGCTACTGGGCAAATAATCAATGAGTCAATAAGCTACTGGGCAAATAATCAATGGGTCAATAAGCTACTGGGCAAATAATCAATGAGTCAATAAGCTACTGGGCAAATAATCAATGAAACAATAAGCTACTGGGCAAATAATCAATGAGTCAATAAGCTACTGGGCAAATAATCAATGAAACAATAAGCTACTTGGCAAATAATCAATGAGTCAATAAGCTACTGGGCAAATAATCAATGAGTCAATAAGCTACTGGGCAAATAATCAATGAGTCAATAAGCTACTGGGCAAATAATCAATGAGTCAATAAGCTACTGGGCAAATAATCAATGAGTCAATAAGCTCCTGAGCAAATAATCAATGAGTCAATAAGCTCCTGGGCAAATAATCAATGGGTCAATAATCTACTGTGCAAATAATCAATGAGTCAATAAGCTACTGGGCAAATAATCAATGAGTCAATAAGCTCCTGGGCAAATAATCAATGAGTCAATAAGCTCCTGGGCAAATAATCAATGAGTCAATAAGTTACTGGGCAAATAATCAATGAGTCAATAAGCTACTGGGCAAATAATCAATGAGTCAATAAGCTACTGGGCAAATAATCAATCAGTCAATAAGCTACTGGGCAAATATTCAATGAGTCAGTAAGCTACTGGGCAAATAATCAATGAGTCAATAAGTTACTGGGCAAATAATCAATGAGTCAATAAGCTACTGGGCAAATAATCAATGAGTCAATAAGCTACTGCGCAAATATTCAATGAGTCAGTAAGCTACTGGGCAAATAATCAATGAGTCAATAAGCTACAGGGCAAATAATCAATGAGTCAATAAGCTACTGGGCAAATAATCAATGAGTCAATAAGCTACTGGGCAAAATATTCAATGAGTCAATAAGCTACTGGGCAAATAATCAATGGGTCAATAAGCTACTGGGCAAATAATCAATGAGTCAATAAGCTACTGGGCAAATAATCAATGAGTCAATAAGCTACTGGGCAAATAATCAATGAGTCAATAAGCTACTGGGCAAATAATCAATGAGTCAATAAGCTACTGGGCAAATAATCAATGAGTCAATAAGCTCCTGGGCAAATAATCAATGAGTCAATAAGCTACTGGGCAAATAATCAATGAGTCAATAAGCTACTGGGCAAATAATCAATGAGTCAATAAGCTACTGGGCAAATAATCAATGAGTCAATAAGCTACTGGGCAAATAATCAATGAGTCAATAAGCTACTGGGCAAATAATCAATGAGTCAATAAGCTACTGGGCAAATAATCAATGAGTCAATAAGCTACTGGGCAAATAATCAACGAGTCAATAAGCTACTGGGCAAATAATCAACGAGTCAATAAGCTACTGGGCAAATAATCAATGAGTCAATAAGCTACTAGGCAAATAATCAATGAGTCAATAAGCTACTGGGCAAATAATCAATGAGTCAATAAACCACTGGGCAAATAATCAATGGGTCAATAAGCTACTGGGCAAATAATCAATGAGTCAATAAGCTACTGGGCAAATAATCAATGAGTCAATAAGCTCCTGGGCAAATAATCAATGAGTCAATAAGCTACTGGGCAAATAATCAATGGGTCAATAAGCTACTGGGCAAATAATCAATGAGTCAATAAGCTACTGGGCAAATAATCAATGGGTCAATAAGCTACTGGGCAAATAATCAATGAGTCAATAAGCTACTGGGCAAATAATCAATGAAACAATAAGCTACTTGGCAAATAATCAATGAGTCAATAAGCTACTGGGCAAATAATCAATGAGTCAATAAGCTACTGGGCAAATAATCAATGAGACAATAAGCTACTGGGCAAATAATCAATGAGTCAATAAGCTACTGGGCAAATAATCAATGAGTCAATAAGATCCTGAGCAAATAATCAATGAGTCAATAAGCTCCTGGGCAAATAATCAATGGGTCAATAATCTACTGGGCAAATAATCAATGAGTCAATAAGCTACTGGGCAAATAATCAATGAGTCAATAAGCTCCTGGGCAAATAATCAATGAGTCAATAAGCTCCTGGGCAAATAATCAATGAGTCAATAAGTTACTGGGCAAATAATCAATGAGTCAATAAGCTACTGGGCAAATAATCAATGAGTCAATAAGCTACTGGGCAAATAATC